GACAAATTAGTAAATTTTCCTTTCAAATAATTTTGCTTGATGATTTATATTTAATTAATAGTAGATAATTTTTCTATCTTAGTTTTGTGTTTTATAATAGAAAATATATTTTCAAGATACAAATATAATACATAAGAGTTATCTTATTTTTAAAAAAATATAATATTATTAATAGAAAGTTGTTTTATTATATAATAAATATAATAATTGTGATATCTGAGTTTAAAATTTAAGTTTTATAGTAGATAATATATTTTCAAGATAACAACATAATACTCAAGAATTATCTTATTTTCTAAAAATATGGTATTATTAATATAAATTTGTTTTAATTGTAAACAAAATATATATAAAACTATATATAATATTAAAATATGAAAAATAAGAAAAATTACCTAAAATCATGGAAAAGTTGACAAATCAGCAAATTTAATTCTTAAATAATAGTATAGATGTAAATTTTTTGGTTATATATTTTATGTTTAATCAGATTTTATATATATTTAATTATTTTATTACGTTTAAACATTATAAGTATGATTTTGTAATTTTTATCAGATTTTTTTGTCAACAACCTAATAAAAATAGTTAATATATATGCTTCAATTTAATTTCTTACAATATGATAAGAAATTTATGATAAGTAGTGTTGAAACTTTTTGATTTCCAAATGTTAACTTATTAATATTACATGCTACTGACTCATCTCAATAATATATGCTAAAATGATATGTAAGGATAACACAAATAATAGATTTCTAGAAAAAAAAAAAAATATATATATATATATATATATATGTGTGTGTGTGTGTGTGTGTGTGTGTGTGTGTGTGTGTGTGTGTGTGTGTGTGTGTGTGTGATAATAATTGCTAAAAACACTAGACATTTTCTTTGGCTGATATGGAGTGGAGTAATTTACCATAAAGGTTATTTTCATGCCAAACATACAAAATTTGACACAAATAAACTAATAATTCTGGTTAGTGGAAAGCTTTGTGACATTTTAAACAATTGTAACTGGAATAGCTTGGATGGATTAAAAGTTTTAGACACGCCATCTTTATAGTCGATATGGCATGTGATTATTATTAAAAACTCGTGCATCTTATGCATTTTTCTTTGTAAAACTGAATTTGGATTCATAGAATTTAGGTTATTCATTATTTGTAGGAAAAAATCTATACGATAAATAATTTAAATTAATTTAATTAATATAATAACGTGAGTCTGAAATTGAACTTCAGATCTATAATCTGTAAACCTTTGATTTTTTGATGAAATTCAAATTCGAAACTTGAAACTGTTTATCTAATTTTTAGTTAAAATTTTAATATATGTAGGGAAATTTTATAAAAAATATCCCAACTAAATTTCGTTAAATTTGTTAATACCCAAACTTTCTTTTTTTCGGTAGGAGGTAGAAGACGATAGTTCCCTACTTTTTATTCAAAAAACTCAAAAACAACTACAAGTGTACATGACGAGGTATAGAGACCCCATTAGAATCCTCCAACAAAACAGAAGCAACAGCCTCCGGAACAATCTCAAAATAATGTAAACCAAAAGGTAAAGAAAAAGCATAGTTAGCTAATCCATCGGCAAGACAATTAGCTTCTCTATGCACATGAGAAAACTTGACTAGCCAGTCTCTTGATATGAAGCCATAGCACAACCGTACTAGGAACAACAGGGGATGAGAATTATGAATCCATGTCCGAAGAAAAACCACCACACTCTCAGATCAACCTCCACTTCCAACCTGTGAATACCGTAATCCCATGCAATACACAAGCCATATTATACCCCCCCCCCAACAGCTCCGCCAACTGGGTCGAACAGATGCCAATGTTTATCGCAAAACCCCCTCTCCACTCCCCGTGTTCATCCCCTATGACTCCGCCTGCAGTAGCTAGTCCAGGGTTACCTCTAGAAGCTCCGTCCATGTTCAAATTGATCCAACTGATCCCGGGACGATACCATGATATTTTCTTCTTAACACGTATCCCCGCAGTCGAGTGACCTCTCAGGCTCTTGTTTGCTAGTATCACTTCCTGAACCTTATCTTTAACAAAGCGCACTCTATCTCGACATTTTCCTATCTCACCAAAAACATAGCCAAATCTCCATTTCCAGTTCCACCACACCGTCAAGGCAAAGAATGTTGGCCATATATCACCATTCCCGTACGCACCCCCACCAAGATTATCATGGAGCCACTCTAGAAGAGATAGACTAAAGAACCGTTGCTGTCTACTTGGGATTACAATTCGCACCCATATCCCAGCAGCCGCCGGACAGTTCGGAGAACGTGAAGAATAGTCTCATCGTCATTCTTACACAGTGTACACATTCCACTTTCACTCAAATGCCTGCGTTTACGCTCCATATTCGTCATGATTACTCGATGAGCCACCAACCATAAGAAAACTCAAACTCGTTCCGGGGAGACAACTCTCCATATCTGTTTATAGAAAGCTTCCATGTTAGGTCTTGGAGCCACATCCCTGATCAAAAAAAGCGTAAGCAGACTTTACAGAGAAAAGTCCATCCTTCTCCTCCCCCCCATGACATTCGATCCCACGCCCCCGTAACATCATCCACTACCACTGAAGGCAATCTTAATCGCATCTGTAACGGCAAGTACTGATCAATTACCTGAGATATCCAGCCTCTTCCACTTTGCCATAGATCTCGGACCTTTGCTTCCTGTAACTCTGCAGGGATAGCTACCATACTCGACTCTTGAAGTGGCTCATTTACCAACCACTTATCTTTCCAGAAGCGGACCTGGAGACCATCTCCCAGTACCCAACTTGCACCTGGAACAACCACTTCTCGAATCCCTCTAATCAAACTCCTCCAAGTCGGTGACCATCGTCCCTGAACTGTCAACCATGATGAATAATATAACTCACCCAGCCGAAATTTATTTCTCAAAATCTGAACCCATAAGCCCTCTTGTGAATTCAACAATCTCCATCCAAATTTCGCTAACAATGCAAGGTTCATTTCTTTTGCTGCTCTTATACCAAGAACACCCTTTTTCTTTGGTTGACAAACATTTTCCCATGAGACCAAATGTTGTTTACGATTTCCCTCACTACTTCCCCATATAAAAGACCTAGCGATCTTATCGATTTGGTCCAAAGTCGATGCTGGGAGAGCTATCGTGCTCATCGTATGAACGGGGATCGTACACAGAACAGACTTTGTAAGAATTATCCTTCCCGCCAAACTTAAAAAATTTCTCTTCCATCCTGCGAGTTTAGAAGAAACCTGGCGACCATCTTTCAATACCCAAACTTTCTCGCTACCCAGTTTAATATCCTAACTAACTATTTTCTTATTTTAATATATAAAATTTTTAAAATATGCCTATTTTAATAATTTTTAATAAAAAATACTAATAAGTTACAGACAAAATTTAAAAATTCTCTAAAATTTCAAAAAAGACTACTAAAATTCTAATTTTATTTGGTGTTTGAGGAATAAACATAACTCAAGAATTGTGTGTAATCTTAAATTTTGTAATAAAAATTTTAAGTTTTAAATAAGGAATTTAGTTTATTTTCTGAAATAAATACAAATTTTTTTTTTTCCTTAAAATTAAAATTTCAAATTTTCTCAAATTTTATTTACCTTCTTTCCTAAATCTTAAATTAAATTAGAATTTTTTTAATATTTTTTCTTAGATATATATATAGCTCAATTGGCTTGTCGATCTGGTTTATTTTTTAGAACTAAATTAAATAAATCAAAAATAAGAAATACATTAATCAATCAAACTTTAATAACTAATTTTAAAGCTTGTAAAAAATCAATTAATTAAATCACTTAATTGACTTTTAGTAGAAATTTCTTTCAGAGAATTTTTGTTGGGAACGTGATGCCTTCTTATTGGTTGTGTCTTTCTTTTACAGGCAATAAAAATAGTTAACATGGTAAAGCTTAAAGAAGAAATTGATCATGAAAGTTGGTGTCAGAAGATTGAGGCTCAGGTATATCATCTTAGTGCAGAAGTTGAAAGACAAACCAAGCTAAGAGAAAGTGAGAAACACGAGTTGGAGAAAAGATTGAGAGAATGTGAAAACACCTTAGCAGAAGCAGAAAAGAACTCGGTTACAAGGTTCAAGGTATTTGTCTCTTCTAGTTCATTGGATACTCTTTCGTTTTACGTACAGTGATTGATGCTTACATCTTGAGGGTTTCAGAGGGTTGAGGATGACGCCACTTACAGGTATGAGTCTAAAATCGCGAAGCTGCAGAAGGAATTGGAACATGAACATGCTCGGTCCAACTCAGCAGAAGAGAAACTTAGACAAATAAAAGGCATTATAAGTGATGGCGAAGCTTCATCACAGGTTATATAGGCTTATTCCTGGTCTTTGAAACTAGGTTTTAATAAGCTTCATGTTTATCCTCACAGATTTTGTTTGTCTGTTTTTTCTTTATATATTGTATCTTGTGCTTCAGCTCTTGATTTATGATTCGACAGAGGAGCTCCAGAGAGTAAAATTAGACTATGATGATCTGCTCCGAGATCTGGCTAATTAAGTCGGTTTCATTTCACAGGACAAGCCTGTGAAGGGAGATATTCCAAATGGATCATCAGAATCTGGAGCTCATATAGACTTACAGAGATTACAAGAGTTAGAAAAATCTTTATCTGATCCAAGAGCTAATATAGCAAGACTTTGTGAAGGAGGCATATATACTTCTTTCTTGTGAGTTTAGCTCGGTTTCATTGTGGGATAATCCAATTTACATCTTCTTTTCTACTTAAATTTCAGTTGGATTGCATAATATATTAAGCCTGATTAAGTCCGAAGACGTGAAAGTTCAAAGCATGGCCATTGAAGTGGTAGCTAGTCTTGCCGGTGAAAGTCAGTGATTTCATCTTCTATATGCTAGCATGTGTCAATAGTCTCAACTTTTACTCCCCTCCATCATTACAAGTGGATTCTCAATAATGATTTCATCTTATATATCATGTGTCATGGTACCTAAATGACTTAGATTCTCTCTCTGTGTGTGTTTAGAATCTATCCAGGTGAATATTGCGAAGGAAGGAGGTGTAGAAGCTTTGCTTATGCATCTTCAGTCATCTCAAAATTCAAAAATTCAAAAAGCCGCTTCTTGTGCAATTGCTAATTTGGCCATGGATGGTAAACACTTCTATTGCTGGTTCAACTACTTCTATGATATTGTTTGCTCATAACCAGTTAAAACTTACTATACTAAGAAGCATGGCCAATTTAGACTTTCGGTGGTCTCATATGGTTGTCATTTTTTTCTTATGATATGTCTGCATGAAGGAAATTAAGGCTTTTTTCAGTACTATTTAGGTTCTTATAAGTTGTATAAACTATAGATTATTTGTTTCAATTATATGGTTTTTTCGTTATATATGGATGATTCATTTACTGCAGAGAAGAATCAAGATCTAATAATGAATAAAGGTGGTGCTAAACTGCTAGCAAAGATGGTGACCAAAACAGATGATCCACAGATTCTGAGAATGGTAGCTGGTGCACTTGCCAATTTATGCGGAAACGGTGAGCAACAGATTTATAATTTTGGCTCTGAGGACTTTCCAGTTTCAGACAATGCATCTATTCTTTTTTTTAGTATTATCAACTATCCATATTCGTAAAAGAATTCTGGTTTACATGGAATAGTCAATTCATGTCTTAACTGTATAGTATATGCAAAAGCAATCTGAACAAAAGCTTTGTGTTGGGTTTCTAATTGAGTACGTATATAAACTCTATATATTGCTCTGTTGGCACATAACAGATAGGCTTCTTGAGCAGCTGAAAGAAGAGGGATGCATCAAGGCGCTACTCACAATGGCGCAATCCGGAAACTTAAGTATCATTGCTCAAGTGGCAAGAGGGATGGCAAATTTTGCAAATTGTGAAATCCACGAAATTAATCAAGGTTTTGTAGTCAAATATTTGTTTACTAATATATCTTAAAAAATGCATATATCCAAGTCAATTTTGTTAATATACCTTTATGGGTCTTATGCATCACAGGGCGTAGAAAAGGTCGTTCTCGTCTTATGGAAGAGGGTATTCTTGAATGGTTGACTTCAAACTCGCATATTGATTCAGCATCAATACAAAATAACATTGACCTTGCACTTTGCCGCTTAGCTCAAAATGGTAAGCCTGTTTTGGCTATATTAAAGCTGACTCCATGTTTTTTCTCTCTTAGAGCATACCTAGATTTTATCCAAAGTTCATGTTGTTGAGAGACATATGACTAATATGCACATCTCCTCTTTTTCGATGCAGAGGAAAACGACAACGATTTCATAAGTACGGGAAGCATGGCAGAGATCGTAAGAATATCAGTAGAGTCGAGCAGAGATGACTTGCGCAGCATAACAAGGTTGATACTCGAATCAAGCCCTTACCGTAATCAAGGAGAGAAGCTAAGATTGTCACAAAATACCTCTGACAGGAGATTATGTGTTGTGGCCTTTTATTTGATTCTATTTTCTTTCTCCTTGCTAACTATTATGAACGGTTTTCTTGACGTTTCGATATCTTGATCATTTGTCCAACATGTCTGTAGTGAATACTCCTTTTGGCTCGCCAGTTCTGTGTATGATTGATGCTGAGACTTGAGACATTACATTATCAAACACAAGTCTCCTCGTTTGTGTTGTATTTGGAATTCATTTTGTTCTCGTTGTTTGTTCTCATTTAACAACGTAATTGCTTGTTTACATTATTGCAAAACCAAGATTCAAAACAAAGTTTGAATTTTCATAACAAGAACTGATAAACTGATACGAAACTAATATTACATCTTATGGTTTCCGACTCGGAGGATTAAGAGTTTTGGCCCGAACCTCTTAATATTCAAAGAAAAAACAACCACTGTCTTAAGCTGAAGTGTGGAAACGTAGTACCATAATTCACAAGTGTAAAGGTAGTTTTGTAAGACTGTAAAAATCCTGATTGAAATCAGGAATCAGAAATCATATAAATGATAATATAAAATTTAGTAAATGTTTAAGAAATCGTAAGGAAAATAGAGAAATTTGTGGAGTGAAATTTGATATATTTTTTTAACTCAATAAATTGTCCATAATATGAAACAATTTTATGTAATTTTTTAATCTCCTGACACAACTACAGTGATATTATTTCGCTACACCTAAAATATAATCTCAAAACAGAATCTACGAACTCTAATCTACTATACACTCCTGAGATTTATTTAAGACAACTAAGACTTTTGCTGAAATTTACTAATTGCATTTTTGTGTCTCGGATTATAAAAAAAGATATGTGTTTATTTATATGGAAAAAACTTGACTGGCAACTCAAAAATAACGATGAAAGAAAGAATATTCTGGAATATTCATGTTTACCGTGCGAGATGAGGAATAAACATATTCTGATAATTATCTAAAAGTTTTTTAATGTATCTTGACACAATCTCAAACGTTTAAATGTATCAAGATTAATTAATTAGATTTAGTCTGTTTGGATTTATTTTGAAAATTATGAAAATAATTTATTATGAATTTGTTCCTAAAAAACATCTTATTGTGGATCCAAGACTAGCCCAGTCTGATAGCAGCGCATACCAGTGTGTGTTTTGCATAATGACCTATCTCAGTTTTTTTATATTGTCTCCACAAGTTATTGAACATTAATAATATAGAATGACATATTTATACTACAAATTTTCTTTTGTCATAAGTAATATGAGATTTTTTACTTTTACATTTCATCTAAATGAAAGATTTTTTATTTAGAATTTTAAAAGACATTTGATTCACATTTCTTTTTACCATCAACAATTTACTCAGTCTAAAGGCTTATAAATATTTTCCAACAGGTTTAGTTTTCTATTAACCCAGCTTTTCTCTTCTTTGGCCAATTTTGAAAGCTTAGGAGGTTAGTTTGCGGTGGACAGACAACTTGCAGTAAAAAGCTCTATTTTGTGATTCAATGATTCAATCGAGTCATTGCTTTACGAAATAAACCTGATTATTCAAATCTTCGGCATGCAAAAAAAAACATTAGAGGTTTCCAAACAAGCTGCTAGGATGACAAAACGGATTAGAAACCAAATTCGAAAAGAAACATGAAAACTGATACAAGATGGGCAGAGTACTCAGAACCTTATCAAGGAAGAAAATCATATAACAACATTTCTCTACAAATCATATCCAACACAACCTTTGTAACATAAACTTTTCTTCACCTTTTTCACATTACGTTCAACAAATCTTCACCTACAAAACAATAAAGGAATATAATTTTTATTATATTGTTCCCGGTTGAAGTATTTATTCAAAGATCCAGAATTAAAGAGATCAGATGCAGTTTTGATCCAAATATTTTTCTGTGGAGAAGCTAAAGTACTGAGGGGATAAATAAAAAATAATAGTAGAATTAAATTTTCGGCATCTCCACAGACATGACCGACAAGTGGGTAACACATGGATAATCTGGATTCATTTTAGTGGACGCCGGAATACCTTTATATAATTAAAAAAAAAAAATAGTGGAAAGAGGATTTACCTTGATGCAGCAGTAACATCAGAAAAATTGGTTTCTTTTAGGTTTATATGAAAGAAAAATCCAGATCTTGGGATTATGAAAATCAACTATGTTTCACAATCTGTCTTTCATTACACATAAAGCTCATAGGATATATTACTCCTTTTTTACAAGTCACTAGTTCAAAGGGATAACAATATCGCCAATGTTTTTGTGCCATGGATCAGCCAAGTGAGTAGCCAGGTTCTCCAATGGTCCTGTGCCTGGGTAGGCAGATTGTTGTACACAGAAGCCTACAAACGCCAACAACGCAAGGCGCCCTGACATACTCAACAACGAAAACAACAAATAACATAAGATATACATTTTAGTAAAAAAAGATCAAGAAAGGTAAAGTGTTTATATACCGTTTTTGATCTCCTTAACTTTCAACTCCTCGAACTTCTTTGGGTCTTTGGAGTATCCAAGAGGGTCAAATGCACCTCCCGGGTACTTCTTTTTCTCAGGGTCTTTCTCCATACTCCTCTGGTGCTCAACAAATGCAATAGCTAAGAACTCTATAGCCAAGATTGTGGGCAAAGTACCCCAAGGGACTGGGTTCCCCAAGTAAGTTGCTTGTCCTCCAGGTACTGCTGCCCATTCCTGAGCCTTAACCCAGTTTCCGTATCCCAAAGCCTCTGGTACCAAAATCCCTGGCTACATTTTTACACAAAATCATAAGATCATTTTTGCATTAGATCAAAACTGTAAAATAAAAAAAAAACTTTAATAAATAAAGACGAAAAGATTATATTGAAGTAAATGTTAAAACTTACAACAGCGAGCATAGCCCATCTACAGTGGATGAGCTCTGATTCTTTGTACCTCTCAAGGTTCTCTGGAACCTCTCCAAGTCCAAGTGGATCAAACCCAAAGTCACTGCACATTTTAGTAAACACAATAGCTTATAAAAAAAACTGAAACTTTTCAAACGACCACCAATTTTAAAGTCAGCATCATTATGTCATCAAAAGGGGTTTCAATCATTTCTCTCTCCAGACACATCTAAGAGGTTACGTAGAACGCAAGAAACAGAGTAAATGAGATGATTTTTTGAAACGTGAAGCATGCTATAACTTTAAAATGAAGCTTTAAACAGCTATCTAACAGAGTTGAGAGATGTGAGTTGCGTACCCAGGAGCAGAACCGTCAAGGTAAGCTGGTCTTGGCTCACCAGGCATCCAGTGAGCGGCCATTCTGATACGACCAAAGTTCCCGGCGTTGGGGAGAGCAACTCCGGCGGAGACAAATTTAGACTTTGAAGAAGAAAGAAGAGAAGGGTAGACGGCGGCGATGCCGCAGCTCATGAGCGAGTTCGACGCCATGGATGTCTCACTTTTTGTTTACCACAAAGAAGAAAGGTGTGAACGAGAGGGTGTTTTGGATGTTGTCAGTGTGGAAGAGTGATCGTATAAGTAAGGTTTTGTAGGAAGCGAATCTAAACTCAGATTGTTATTGGGTAGAGAGGGCCTGCGTGGCTATTTCATTGGGCCACGTGGATTCTCTATCTCATGTTATGTCGTTGATATCTCTATCTGCTCTGTGTGGTTCAGGCAAGGACCGAATCTATAATTACCTTTTTGCCATTTATCAACTGCAAAGATTAAAAAAGTGAGCGCCAAAAATATTGTGGTCTTCACCCACTGACTTTACAAATATCTTTTCTAACCACACAGATTTTTTTTAAGTGGAGTGCCATTGACTCAAATCCAGTGGAAAATCTTTTGACAAATCAAATGCAGGCACCATCATGGAGGATTCTGAATGAGATTAGACTGAAAAATGTTGTTAGCTTAAGGATCATTGTGCGTATGATCATCAAAGTAGAGTGGTTGTACAATTGAATTTTGTAAGAATCCTTGGAACTAAAAGCTCTTAAACTTGGTTTTGCTTTCAGAACCATCTTTTGCTTTCAGAACCATCTTCAAGAATGAGCACAACAACCCATGACTATCTCTAGTCAGAGACAAAATACAATAATGCTCAGGATGATACTGAATCTTCAAAGATTGAATCTGTGTAGAACCTCAACAACAGCAAAGCACAGACCGAACAAATGGAAGAAAAACACATGTCAAAAGGATCAAATCAACAAGGAGACTCAAGATTGTAATGTAAAGAGTTTTAGGCACTTGGTGATACAATATGTTTCTGAAGTTAAGAGACTCAAGATTGTAATATAAACTCGACTCATGACTCTCATCTAGTCAGATTAAAGTTCTAATAATACTCAGGAAGTTACTGGAATCTTCAAAAATTGATCTTTGTAACATCTCAACAACACAAAAATGCAGACTAAACAAAAAGAGGCGCATATCTAATAGATCAAATCAACAAGGAGACCTCTTAATATATTGGTAGTACTATTGTTCTACAGCTAGTTCCATCATCCAATATGTCTCGTGTTACCATCAACCATAAAATCTTATACATCAAAGAAACTTTTATAATGTATCGAGTTCCATCACAACGTCTCTTAAGTTACTAGACATAAACTCTGAGACATCAAGGACACGTTTCTTCAAGACATAGAGAAATCATTACAAAACCCAAACACAGGCATCAACAATCAAACCAGTATCATCCAACTTCAAGAACAAATAGCTCTTTCAACAACTTCCTGCAACTCACCACTCTGAAACGCCTCAAGAGTGATATCACAACCACCGAAGAACTCACCGCCGATGTAAAGCTGAGGAAACGTAGGCCAATTGGAGTACTCTTTCAGCCCTTGTCTCAGCATCTCGTTCTCAAGGATGTTCACGTCTTCGAACGGAACGTTCAGATTCTTCAAGATCTGCACCACCGTGTTCGAGAATCCGCACATCGGGAAATCTCTCGTTCCTTTCATGAAGAGTACGACTTTCTCCGAGTTCACCAGCTTCTCCAGCGTGTCTCTAAGCTGCGGAGTAAGCGCAGACGACGCTGAGCATCGGAATTTGGCGGCGGGAGATGATGGTTTGAGTTTGGGTGTGAGATTTGAGCGGATGATGTAGATCGGTTGGTGGAGGTTGTTGACGGCGAATCTGTAAGACTGAGGCTTGTTGACGATTGAGGAGGAGATCACACCGGCGGGAGTAATCAAGGACGGCGGTTTGATAGATCGGAGAGCCATTTTTGGGGAATTTGGAATTTGGGGAAATTGAAAGGGTAAAGATTTATGAGCCACACAGACATAATCTGAGAAGGGATATAGTAAACCATGTTGCCAAACACCACTAAGCCTATAGGCCCAATACAAATACGGGCTTGGTTTAGTCTAACCAAACTCCGTGCCTGAGGAAACACAAATCGGACAAAAAGAGAATCAAAAGCTCCAGACGATGACCTACTAGCCTTGTTTCCAATGTGTGTTTTTAATTAAACCAATATATTTTATATTTCGATTTATTAGATTAATTCGGTGAAATGCAAAAAAAAAAGGATCAAACTCGGATGTAGACTGTATAGTTAAGGAAAATGCTCGAGTTTTTCATTTAGTTAGTTGATGAATGTTGAACCTATTGGTTTGTGTTTGCTGAACCGAACCAAACCAGGCACTTATCTAATTAATGCGAAGGGGAATATAAAAAGCCATGACAGAGAATACTAAGCCCAATAGGCCCAATGTAAGTGCTAGCTAAGTTACAATGTGAAAGCTCAAAGCTCAAAAACTGAAAACAGAATAAAAGCTCAAGAGAAGACCCATAATCCTCTGTCTCCAGCAGAGAGCAGAAGCAAGAGAAAAAAAAAGAGGAGAGAGAAACTTCTTCTTCTTCTTCTTCTTCTTTTTCTTCGGAGCTCCCTCTCTCTCGGATTCCAAATCCTTCTATCCTACTTCTCCTTCCTTACATTTGTAAACCAGCATTCTTCTTTTGACACTCTCAACACACTCCAAGTACTACTCTTCAAACCTCACAATCCGCCATTAACGATGCTTCCTCCTCACTTCTCCATCTCCATCTCCATTTTCGTTCTATACCTCTTCTTCACACTCCTCGAAGCTACACAACCCCTAAATCTCACTCTCACTCTCCCTCACCAACACCCTTCTCCCGACACCGTCGCTCTCCACGTCACCAGGTAAAAAAAACATACTTCTCTCTCTCTAATCTCCACATTTTCCCCGAAAAATAAACAAAACTCACTTCTTCTCCCTCCATTTCCCACAGAACAATCAATGAATCCCTCTCACGCAGACAACTCACCTCCTCCTCCTCCTCCTCCTCATCCTGCCGTACCGGAAACCCAATCGACGACTGCTGGCGCTGTGACTCCTCCTCCGACTGGTCCACCAACCGGCAACGCCTCGCCGACTGCTCAATCGGCTTCGGCAGCGGCACACTCGGCGGCAAAAACGGGAAGATCTACGTCGTCACAGACTCCTCCGACAACAACCCCGCAAACCCAACTCCAGGCACACTCCGCCACGCCGTCATCCAAGAAGAGCCCCTCTGGATCATCTTCTCCTCCGACACCTCCATCCGCCTCAAACAAGAACTCATCATCAACAGCTTCAAAACCATCGACGGCCGCGGCTCCGCCGTCCACATCACCGGCAACGGCTGCCTAACCATCCAGTACGTCCAGCACGTCATCATCCACAACGTCCACATCTACGACTGCAAACCTTCCGGAGGAGCCGTCGTCGCCGCAACGCCGACGAAAGTCGGCAGGAGAGGTAGATCGGACGGTGACGGGATCTCTATATTCGGATCTCAGAAGATCTGGGTCGACCATTGTTCGCTGAGTCATTGTACTGATGGGCTGATTGATGTGGTGTTGGGCTCGACGGCGATTACGATTTCGAATAATTATTTTACGCATCATGATGAGGTGATGCTGTTGGGGCATGATGATAAGTATGTGCTGGATACGGGGATGCAGGTCACGATTGCGTTTAATCATTTCGGACAGGGGCTTGTTCAGAGGATGCCGAGGTGTCGGAGAGGGTATATTCATGTTGTTAATAATGATTTTACGTCTTGGAAGATGTATGCTATTGGTGGTAGTGGTAATCCTACTATTAATAGTCAAGGGAATCGTTACATTGCTCCTTCTGATCCTAGCGCCAAAGAGGTAAAGTTTGAAACTTTGGTTTTGGTTTTTTACAAGTTCGTTTTTTTTTTTTTGGAGTTGCCCATATCTAAAGATCTTTCTTTTACTGCTTAATTGTTTCAGAAAATTTCAGGGGGTTTAGTTGGAGATTTTAGGCTATTTTATTCTAAAATTTAGATTTTGATTACAAGTATTTGGATTGTCCATATCGAACAATCTTTCCTTTATGGTTGTTTTTAGTAGATTTTTGCTTCATTTTTTCAGATTTTGTTAGGGTCGTAGTTAGACTAGTGGAAAGATTTAGGCTTTATACCATAGGGGTCCAACTTTTAAGCAGATAACTTTTCTTTTGAATAATTGATATAGTAAAGATGTTGAGTATAGATGGTCCTATGAGTCCAGTTCATCTTTCACATGGACAGTTGTTAATCCGTTGCTAGGAGGAAAAAGTATCTGGAAATATAGTATACTACAGTGTGAAAATGTAATGCAATGAAATAGTGTTGCATAGACATAGTAAAAGAATCTTATTTTTGTAAGAATTGGGTCAAGTGGTAGTGAGACAGTGATGGTATGTATATAGTATTAGTGCTTGACAGCCATGTGGGCTGTTTCTCTTTGTCCACACACTTTTTTTCTTCTTCATTATCCTTTTTAACGCCACGCTCCATGGCGGCGCGTGAACTACATTTTGCTGAACCCGAGAGATTTTTTGTTGAAGCAGGTGACGAAGCGAGTGGACTCGTTGGACGATGGTGAGTGGGCGAATTGGAACTGGAGAACGGAAGGAGATTTGATGGAGAACGGAGCTTTCTTTGTGGCTTCTGGTGAAGGAGTGAGCACAATGTACTCTAAAGCTTCCAGTGTGGAGCCTAAAGCTGCTGCTCTCGTAGACCAGCTCACTCAAAACGCTGGCGTTTTCGGCGGTCCCAGGTACTTTTTCCACTTTTATGATTTCTTTTTTTTTTTTTTGTCATTAAAAAATACTTGAAAATACTTACATTTAGGAGAGTGCATGATTATTCATATCCATGTTTAATGTTACTATAATTAGATTAGCTGTGAAACCGCGTGATTAGCGCATGATTAGCGTATATTGCTGTTGTTGTGTGTTTAGTTAGTCCTTTCTTTTGGACTGTAGTTACTTATATCATTAATAACCACGGTTATAGATATTTTTGTAGGTTGAGTTGAATTAGTGATATGGAAGTTAACTAACTCACTGGTTTTGGAAAATTAAAGTAGCTCATTTGAGAATATAATACGTTAGCATTTAGCATAACTCAAGTAAGCGATGCACGTGATCGTCTGCGTGGAGAACCGACCAACTTGACTAGTGACTGAATTATTTTTAGACTATACTCTTTCAAGTTTTTGTCCATTTGGGAATATGGTTGGTAGAGATGTATGTCACAATTTTAACTTTTTAATTAAGATATTTTTGATTAATGATGCAACCACATTTCAATATATAATACGAAAAAGTCAATAATATTTTTGTGGGTTATTATTTCATTATAATGGAAAATGTAGTTAAGAGAGATGGGACCCCTATGTTGAAAAGATGATTCCATTTTTAATGGTCCCATTATACCCTTTTAAATCGCATTAATGTATCATTTTGACTTTAATATGCTTGGAATTAGCATTACATGGTCGATCTTTTCAGACATAACTTCTTCTAATGAAAATGATTTTTTTGGGTGGGGAACAGGGATGATGAAGGGCAGAGTGGCAATTCTTATTCTGGATATGGAGGAGGGTCGAGTGCTATAGGTGGTACGTCAAGAGGAAGCAGCAGCAGTAATGACAACAATTTCTTCGGGATGATATTTGGAAACAATGCACCGCCTCGACCACGTTTAACGTTATTGTTTTTGTCTTTGTTAATGATTTCTGTTTTGTCCTCATCAACTCTATTATTGTTGTAGACTATAAAGATAACTTAATAGGATTTGGACCGTCCATTTGATTGGTCTATTGGTGTAAAGTGGCTGGCTCTCCATTATTATTTTTTATTCGTTTGGTTTCACAACACTAGAAAACAGAAATGGGAATGGCAACTTCAAAGAAGAACTTTGTCTCAAATGTATTGTTTAATCAAGTTTTAACTTTTTCATCTTTCACCATCTTTTTGTGTTCAATACTTTTTCCTCCTTTGCCAATGCAATGGTTCTAAGCGTTATAAGAACATACCCAAACTCATTTTTCATTCAAGAATAATTAAGTTTTTTTCTTCTAAATCTACTTAATTTACACCAATGGAGTAAAATGATTTGGAGTGGAAAATAAAATTTCTCAAAACTTGGAGTAAATATATTCATCATTTTATATTTTTGTTTATTTTTCTATTTTTAATCCAAAATAAAATATGATAACTAAAACTCAGCTTTATTTTAAAGTTATTCTACTTGGAGGGAAAAACATATTAATACATTGGAAATGCTCTATTTTAATGTCATTTCTGTAAGAGAAAATGATATTATCTGTTAGAACATGGCTGAAGTTTTCTAAGATATGTTGTCATATTCTGGTATGAAGTATTGGTTCATCGTCCAAAGCCTTTAAAGCATTGATCTAAGAGTAGTCAAATAAACATAGTCACCGTCGACTGTCCTTGTAAATCACTTAGTTAATTGCTACCAAGTTTTTCAGAAGCTGCAATAAACAGCACTAAACTTAACTTCTATGACATAATCTGGTCGACGACATGTGAATTCATCATATTCCTGGCCGCCATTTACAAGGGACCAAAAAAAACAAATGAAATAAAAGAATAAAACAAATTATTAGAAAGTTTCTAAAAAACATTACTCTTGTAAACCAAGAAGATAGCAAAAAAAAGCCATTAGTTTGAAGCTAAAGAAGCAGCTTCTTCAAGTCTCTTCCATGTCATTTCTCTTTGTTCCAACAACTTACAAGCCTTAGCTTCATTCTCCGCATGTCGTTTCTCACACTCTTCAAACAACTCAGTGTCCATCTCCATAAACATTCTCCTAACATTCTCAGACAAACCATGCACCGCTTGGTTCCAATGTCCTTTCATGTTCCTCTCCAACGCTTCAAAGATTATAGGGAATATCACATCTTTGTTCTCAGAAATCAAGCCAACGATATGCTCATTGTTCCACAAGAAAAGAGCTCTCTCTGCTACCTACACCTCTCTTTATCAAACACACATCACACTATCAAAAGACAAAAAAAAGTTGAGAAACAAACAAACCTGAAAGTGTGAACTGTTAAGACACTTCCCAATCTTTGTAAACAAAGGAACAACAGAATGCTGAAACTCTGAAGGCTCAGTAACATCCAAAACCTCTTCTAACTCTCCCAAGAACAGAACCTCCTTATTACAATTCGTCAGAGGCCAATACTTCAACAACCCACGGATCACAGTATCAGCCAACTTGTAATCTTTCTCCACAAACTGCGTCACGCAATAAGACAACTGCTGATGATAAATAGATATACTTTTAGACTTGTGCAACGGCAAAATAGCTTTCACAAGATACAACACATGCTCCTCTCTCATTGGTACTGTGAACCCATTGATCACACTTCCCAAAATCTCCAACAACTCTCCTATTCCAACACACCTCTCAGTCTCATACAAGTACTTGTAGAAGATGTTGTAGATAGAGCATCTAATGAAAGGACGGTGAAATATAAACTTCCCGTAGATCCTGTGAAGAACAGTCTTCAAGTACTCCCTCTCCCTAGGATCCTCAGAGTCAAACAAATCAAGTAGCTTCGACACGAACGTGTGGTTGATGAACTTCTTAGCAGTCCTGGGCTCTATCTCTGAAGAGACAACGTAACGCAAGAGAAGCTCGTAGATAAGCTGCAAATGAGGCCACCATGGCTCAAGATAAGGCTCTTCCTCCTCGGGATCGTTCCCTTCAGGAGGAGCTCCAGTGTTCTCGTAATGCGCAGGTGGGAGAGGACGGAAGATGTTAGCTGAGACCATTCTTATGAGCTCGCTCTGCATCGTTTCGTTCACTTTACCTGAGGATGAGTGGAGGAAGTCTACTAGCTCTAAGAGTGTCTGTCTTTTGATCTCTTTCTCTCGTGGCATGATCAGTGAGTCTGAGAAGTCGCATTGGCATGAGCACATGTGAGCCTTCTTCATGAAGAGGAGAGGACGGTCTGAGGAAGATACGTCTTTTAGTAAGGGGAGTACTTCGAGGGAAGGTGGTGTTGTGAACATTGGCTGGTTTGGTGTCTGTGAAGGAGACGGAGCTGTGGATTGTGATTCGCCGTTTGGTGTTGGAACTGTGGTGGCGGTGGTTGGGGGGCGGCTGCTGCGGACGACGGTGTTGACGGTGGAGGTGGTTTCTTGATCTGATTTGGTGAATTTCTTTATGATTTTGTTGAACATTTTCGGATCTTTTTTTTATTACAAAAGATGCAATATTTTTGTTTCTTGTCGGAATGAATAATCAAAACCCTAAAAAAGAAACAAGATTGGTTATGTTTCTTGTTTGTATCACCAAGAACTGAAAATGAGAGTACATTGGTCAGAGAAATGGTTTACCTTTAAAGCGATGATGAATGGAGGAGTTGTCTTGTCTGAGATCGGAGATGGCGATGGAGATGGAGAAGCATTAGGCCGAGACCGGTGTGTTGAAGACTGTTCAGGCAAAACCAGAAAATGATATCTGAGGTAGGAGATCAGTTTTGGGGAGATGTGTTTTCACAAAAAAATAAAATAAAATAAAAACTCAGCAACTATTTTTCTATAAAGTTTAATAATTATTGATATTAGGACATGATTAAGCCAAAAACCCAATATGGGTTTCTTATTTTTTTAAAAAAAAAGAAAAAGAAATTAATTGTGTACCGCCACTAGAAATGTCAATTGTGGGCTTTGAACGTGGGACAGACCCGCTACAACTTGTGGCGGGGCAGATTTGGTGTACCGGAGGTTCGCAGGTCTAGCGGGATGGATCTTCTGCGGTATGGGCTTCAGGTGGGAAGGTCCAAAAAAGACCGCGGTTCACCCTAAGTACCGCTTCCTCTTCTCTATTTGCATTTACGCCAACCTGAAAAAAAAAACAAAAAGAGAGAGAGAGTGACAGAAAGACGAGATCGGCGTCACAGAAATGGACTCCGATGACTTCAGGATGGAGTTCCGGTGACGGGGGATTGTTACTCGCAAGCACTCCGCCGAATGGTGGAGAGTCATCTTCTTCTCCTGAAAGCTGTGACAAGAAGAAGGTTGTTCTTGATTCTTGAAACTCTTTCCACCGTAGAAGATGATCTTCCATCATACGGTGGGATCTTGAGTGATGGATCTTGACGGATCTTGAGTTTTCACCATGCATGCGACATATCCGGTAGTGAATCTTCTCTAACTTTGTTCTTCTCTTGTGTTTGATGTCGATTCCTTTAATCTTTTTTAGTTTTTATGAATCTTCTCTAACTTTGTTCTCCAAATTTCAGGTACATGCAAGAGCTCCGGCGACGGTGGCTTATTGCTCGGTGAAGATCCCAGCCGGTGGTGGTGGTTCGACTTCTGAGATCTTCATAGAACTAAAGCTAAAGCCGAACCGCCCCCACCAGCTGAGTTCTTTACGACGGGTGTTGACTTCAGGAGACTCAAGTTCCGGTGACGACTCGGCTCGCCAACGACATGCGGCCTCCTCTGAAGGTATGATCCAGTTCTCTTTTGTGGTTGATCTCGATTTATTTATTTTTCTCTTTGTATGTTCCTGCATGTTCTTTGTATTTCTTTGAAAAATGTGTGGTTGATGTCTAACTTTAATTTTGTCCCTGCACCTTCCATTCAAGTTACCTCCGGTGAGGAGTTCTTCTGCTTCGTTTCTCTTTTTCGTTTCTCGATAAGAATAATATTAATTTTATATAATTAGTTAATATTTTAGATTAATTTATAAAAGTTTAATATTTTAGGTTTAATATTTCATATAATTAGTAAATATTATAAATTAATTTATAAAGGTTTAATAATTTTATATAATTAATTAATATTATAGATTAATTAATAAAGGTTTAATAAATTTAGATAATTAATTAATATTATGGAGGTTATTGGAGACTCTTTGCACAAAGTAAGGTTATTGAAGACTCTTTGTACAAAGTAAGAGAGAGTATTAAGTATGTGTTAGGATCGGAAACGCGTGAAAATTTATTTGAAAAATGTTTGGATGATGCGGGTGTAGAAGAAAATGGGGGGGGGGGGGGCAAA